GTGTTTTCAGATGTTCAAATCTGACTTTATATTTAAGATTTGACCTTCAATGACCTTTTGAAGGTCAGAAAAAGTCTTTTTTCAACTTGCTTCAAATTAACCATTTTTTCAAAATCATCTATAAGTTATCAGAAGTTCAAATCTGACTTAATGTTTGAGATTTGACATTCAATGACCTTCTTAAGATTTAAGAATATAGATTTGATCATTAAATGACATTCTAAAGGTCAAAATAGATTTGACCTTTAGTGACCTCCTCAAGGTCAAAAAGGTATTTTTTATCTTGTTTCAACTAGGTGGTGACATTTTGTCATGTTAATGCCTTGTTTTACTTGTAGCTAGTGAATGTCTTTGAAATGACATAAGCCTAATACAGTGGGACCTGGGTTAGTGAACACCTTTCTCTAGTGAACACCTGTGTAAAATGAACACCCTATTTTCAGCGCATACCTTGATTCCAATACAAATTGTCTTTCTGTATTGTGGCTCTATAGATGTTCACTGTACACAGGTTTTACTTTATACAAAACACCTTTATATTTAACTTTAATTAATAAACTGATTATCTAATTGCAATTATAAATTGCTATCTATTATTTGCAGGGAACATGTAGCAAAACAATAAGGGAGAATAGTAAGCTATTCAAGGCTTATTACTGTCTGATGTTCTATTATTAACTAATTTGATTGATTCAATTGATGGCTTTCTCAATCCATTCCAAATTGAGGACAATGATCATTTATACTGCATATCATCTGGAATGCCAACACCCTCTAATTTAGCAGATGATCTCTTAAATGCAGCATCCAAGGGCACACAAGCCTTTAAGCAATTTATTCAAGACCAATTTGTGCAGAAGGGAAAAAGTTTTCATAACCCCATAAAAGAATGAAACTGAAAACATCTGAATTCAATGCTGGAGTCAAAAAGGTGAAAAGCTCTGGAAACAAACTGATTGAGATTAGAGCTGAGCGCAATACATTTGGCCAGTTAGTCATGTTATCAGAGCAGCATAGTATCAGTCTAAAGCGAATATTAGAATATCCCCTGAGTCCAATACCCTGGGCTCTTGGAACACCTGATGGGCTCTTGGTTAAAACAGAAAAGTCAAAATTATTACATGAGCTGGAAACATATGATATTACATGGACCCAAACCAGAAAAAAACAATTATAGTCTATGATGGCAATGCATTGTTCCATATACTTCCTGAGCGACCCAAAACATTTGGATTATTGGTAGAGAGGATCCTTCAGATGCTTCCTATAAGAAAGATTCAATTAAAGAACCAGAAAGAATACGCAGGCGTGTCTCCAAAAATAAAAGGACCTAATACCAGAATTCCTAACAATTGGAAGGAATTCCTTTTAAATGATGAGAATGAAATGCAGCTGAGTCAGTTGATCCTTGAAGAATGGAAAAAGATAAAAATGCTCCTAAACTCAAAGAAAGACAGATTCATGTGAGATCTGTACAGTGGTAACTAGTGATAGAACTACTGCTACACATACAGTTGAATCAAGCCTGAAATCTTCCCACAGAGAGGCATACTCCATGCAATTAACATGAAATGAACCTGAAAATACAGAAAAAACTATAGTTGTGAGATCCCCAGATAGCGATGTTTTTGTACTTCTTGCTTACTTTCCAATCTTATTCAAACTCCATTAATTTTCGACACTGGTAGTGCAGACCACATATGACTTATTAAAGGTGCAACAATTAGTGCAGGGGGGTAATTCAACGATCATCGACCAGTGTCAAAATATATTTAAGTTTGGATATTTCATCAAGAGTAACATATATTTTTATTATCTACAAAGAAACCCCCTTGATGAACATTATTTCAGCTGATATTCCTCTTGAAACGTGGTGAATCTTAAAAATCTTAAAAAGTGGGACTCCCTTTATAGAAGCTTTGAACTGAATTTACACTTCTAAATTGAGAGTTTATCCATACATTTTAAGAAAATAGATATGTCAAAGCAGATGTTAAGCCAAATATTGACCTGATAGCTCAGAAAAAAGAAAAAAAATTGAATTTTCTCTCTACAGTCCCTTGTTGCCCCTTTAATGTAAAGGAAGTAGGAAATGCGCTCAGTTCAGACATTTGTAAATTTGTAATGCTTTACCAGCCTTCCATTCATTCACTGGATGTGATTCCTTCAGTGCCTTTGTGAGAAGGGAGAAAGTGTCCCCCCCTGAAATTACTTATGAGAATTTCAAAAAGGTTTCGGCACCATTGGAGGGGTCATTAGTGATCAAACTGCTAAATGTGCTGAGAAGTTTACTTGCCAGATGTATGGAAACAAAAAGTGTTCAAATATAAATGAGCTGAGATATACCTTATTCAAGAACAAATTTCAACCAAAATCTGCTCCAAGTGTGATAACAAGCTATGAAGGCACTAACAATAAGCCTCCTACCCCCATGTAAAGATTCATTACAGCAGCATCTGGCAAGGGCCAGTTATCAAGCACACATATGGAAACTTGCCAACATCCCCTCCCCATCAATTCCCTCCCCTGTGTCACATGGATGGAGGATGAAAGATGGTCATTTGGATTTCAATGGGTGTCAAATCCAGATAAAATTCTACCCCAGGACCTGGTAGATGTTATCGTATTAGATGATACTTTAGAAGATCAAAATGAAGAGGAAGTTTATGAAATACAAAGCTTTATGGATCAAATATATTCTGGTGAATAAAAACTACATTTGTGATGACAGAAATTCATACAATGAGTAAAATTAATATTATGACTGAGTCGTGAACTGTGTATTAGATATTATCCTACACTTAGTGTACTAAATGTATAATAACATGAAAAAATAAATTTGATATTTATTGGCAAAATGAATATCCAGAGGATATCGTAACGATATACTCCGGGCGGAGGATATCGTGACGATATACTCCGGAAAACCCAATATGCGGAGGATATTGTGACGATGTACTCCGCTTGTTGATTTCCAACCAAATTGACTCTATTTGGCATGAAATTCATTTTACATTGATATTATACATTCAGTACACTCCTTGTAAGTGTAGGATAATAAGAACATCCTATGATTTTTTTCAGAATATCATTTTAATCTACTCGGTGATATTGATATATGCACTCGTTCGCTTCGCTCTCTCGTGCAGATATCAATATCACCTAGTAGATAAAAATGATATTCCTCAAAATCATAGGATATCCTATAAATATTCAACTTCATATTTTCAATATTCTTATATCTCGAGCCTACATAGAAAAAATGTTGTATTATAAATAATTCACAGGTATGTACTATATGTATACACCTAAGTGAAAATATTTTATGGTAATATATTTGATAAAATACATGATATGTACATGTATTCATTTAATGTGCCATCATGCTACTGTTTAAATCCACATGTATTAATGGCCACACCCCTTTTATAAGGGAAAGAGGGGAGAGGTAAATTGACCCATATAGGCAAAAAACATGTTAGAGTTTAAGTTTTTTCTTTATAGTAATGTGTTGGGGACATGTTGGTGCTACTTTTAGGAAAGTTCCATTAATATTAAACTGAGATTGATTGAGAAATTAAAAAATCAATTCCAATCAATGTCTCTCAACCCCCCTAAATTCTATGATTTTAGGGTGAAAATATGTTGCTGTTTTTAAATAAAGTTAAAATTCTTCAATTTTTTTACATATGCATTTCAAGTATGATTACTCTTAACAGAAACACCAAAAGAAAGAAGCATTGGTTGTTTAGTTTTTGTTTTATAGCTAAATAATAATGTACCCCCAAGAAATCTGAATTTTAGGGTCGAAAATGCAATTTTAACATCTTTCGCACCATTTGCGGCGCATAAGACCAGTAAAATCTGTTGAGATAGACCTAAATACATAACCTAAGTCACAAGAGAAATTGTCCCGACAACACCCTGATCGAAGTGCCTCAGATCGCTACCTATAAACTTTATGTCTAACTTGGAATTAATAAGTTTTACTTCTTAACAGTTTTATTTGTGACACTTTAATATACCCTCATCTGTTGGTTTTGGAAATAATAAGTGCCAAGAAAGTCTATACAATATTTTTACTTTATTCTATACTGGTATGCTGAAATATTGCTATATAAAGGTATGCCTCTTCGTCTCCTACTCAGTTACAAACCAACAGGACAACATATCGGATCAGAAGAAAGAAAATGTTTGTGACAACGCTGGGAATCGTTTTAATTTCCCTGGTGGCTGGTGAGTTTATTTTGCTTTTAATTAATTTCATTTACAATATATTGAGATTTACAACAACTATTAATAGGAATAAAAAAGACAGTATGTAGGAAAATAGCAATTCCTTAAGATAGCAAATTCCAGCGAACAAAACATTTATAACGAACACTCTTCATTCAGAACATTTCATGATAGAAATAATTTGTAATAGTTAAACCGAGCCGCAATCGTTATATCCTACGGTCCTATGTCCTTAAGGCACAAGCATATAAAATTTGAACCGAATCAGAGAGCCGATATTCAAGTTATCAAATGAATTTTAGCATTTTCTCAAGCAGAGGTCCTATGCCCATGAGGCATCAGCCTATAAAAATTGAATCAAATCAATCAACCGGTATTTGAGATGTATCATCCGTCGCCGTACACAACAATGGACAGATGGCTTCTCTATATCTATACTAGAAGTTAGGAGTGATGATAAAATAACTCTCTGTGTGTAGCTTTTGTACAAGTGGTCTTATATTCAATTCCCAGTAAAAGATAAATTTTGTATTGTACTATAATGTGCTCCGTAATTGATATAAATGGTTGTGATGTGTGCATTTTACTTGTGAGCAATTCAACTACAAACAACTCAACTGCCAAGTACAACTCGATATTTAACTACCAGTGCTATTCCAAGAAGTTCGAGTTACCGGAGATTGAAAACCAGTTATATTCCAAGAAGTTCCAGTTATCGACCACTGAAAAGCAGTGCTATTCCGAGAAGCTCCAGTTATCGACCACTGAAAAGCAGTGCTATTCCAAGAAGTTCCAGTTATCGACCACTGAAAAGCAGTGCTATTCCAAGAAGTTCCAGCTATCGACCACTGAAAAGCAGTGCTATTCCAAGAAGTTCCAGTTATAAACATCTGACAACCAGTGCTCTTCCAAGAAGTTCCAGTTTTCGACATCTGCCAACCATTGCTGTTCCAAAAAGTTCTAGTTTTCAACCAAGGACGACCGTGATTGCTCCAACATCAACCAGACGAGAGTATAGTACTGCTAGCTCTTTGACTATACCTGTTGGTAAGTTATAAAGTAGAGTTACATGTGAATACGCGTACACCACATGCTATAGATATATGAAGCTCTCTTTTAAGAAGCGAAGTCAAACACCTGGAAAGTGTAACTGTAAGTCGAAGCAGCTTAAATGTTGGTGAAAATTGAATAAATAACTGAGGCTTAGTTTAAGTGTAAATCTTGCGGATAGACAATGAAATAAAATTGCAGTTAACTGGAAGAACTAAAAATCTGCAACATAAAAATGCTTTTCTATTTGATTTATTTCATGGAACAGCCCCTATTACAAGCCTTGGTGCAGGCCATGTAAATTGTTCAGCCGATCTTAACATCGACATCCTAGTGCCTTCTTCAATTATCACAAAAGAAAATCTCAATATTGGTGAACCTCTCCATGTTGAGGGCAACAGGGACTGTAAGATTGACTACAATGGAGGTCTTGGAATTTTCGCTGGAGAAATGTCCCTTTCAAAATGCTTCACTCTGACGGTATATCATTTTTTGTATAATACACTTTATAAAACTAGATTAGTTAATAAGTAATCGAAGTGTGAGTGATTCTTATAAAATAGAAAATATATCACAAAAATGCTGATGATAATACTGTTACCATTGTAGGAAAATCAAGATAGCATAATGTATGAAGCAAAAATCATTGGAGGTAATGCGCCAGCTAAGAATGGAGTCATCATCAGAAAGAGTCAGTTTGCTTTGGCTGTTATGTGTAAATATGACAGATTGGCTGAACTTGAACCAGCTAAATTTGTTGCTACTAGAGGGTAAGATAGCATTCACATGAATGGATTTTATAAAAGGAAACATCTTCCTAACAGTGATGTAATACATTACGAAAAGCATGATTGTGTTTACCTTAACAATTTATCCACACATATTTTGTTCATTTTGACCAAAAATTTATGAAATTCCTGTGCTTTATTGTTACAACTGCAAACATATTTTGAATATAAGTTTTAACACATGTGAAAATATTTCAGTTCTTATATATGTGTTGCATGTCCATGTTTTAAATCTAAAAGCTTAATTCTGCCAAGTTAAAAACATTTTGAATGGGAGGGGCGGTTGTTTAATTGCCCCTTTAAAATTGCATTTGACTGAAATGTCAATTCCTTATTCATCTTGGGTTCTTCAGGAGAGTCTCCTACAAAGATGAGGAAATGGGAGAGTTTACATTTACTCTGAAACTCTATGACAGTCCAAACACCACAGAGGTTCTCTCTCCTGAAAAAGAGGTACAGATATCTATTTTATCACAATTTATGTTATCTAAATAATCTCAGGGTTTAGGGGCTGATCTGAAAATCAAAAGGAGGGAGGAATGGCTGAAAATGTTGGCCCAATTTCTTACAAATAGGCCCTAAATTGAAAAAGTAATGCCAAGAAATGTCAATTCGCTTCCTATATTACCAAATAATATGGTGAGAAGCAGATTCTTGACCTTACCTTTTTTAGTTAATTATCTATTTAAGGAATAAATAATGATAGGCCATTCAATATGGTGAAATTCAGCACGAGTTGGACAGAATGTTGTACAAAGCACGAACCGAAGGTGAGTGCATTTGTACTAACATTCTGTCCAACGAGTGCTGAATTTCACCATATTGAATGGCCTATCATTATTTATTCCGATTCAAACATAAAAATTAGTAAAAGCCGTGTCTGTGGAACGGGCATGAAGGAAGAATACGCATGCTGTCAAGATTCTGAAGTGGGCCGGAAAATTTTTAGAATTTGTTTGGGCTGTTCTATTTTACTCCCCGTTACTCGTCCTTAAATAAGACTAGTTCACCGACTGCAAACTTGAAGTCAGCCATAGTTAAATAGTTACAGTATTTACGGAGGGAGTAAAAAAGAACAGCTATCCCCGGACAGAGCCCCAGATGTGCAGCTGAGATGTGACGTCACTCAAAACAATGCAAATTGCAGATTAAATAGAGCATGGTCGTGCATCTATGGAGAATTAGAGAACGTTCTATATTGGCTATGCTGCATTCTGATTGGTTGAAAAATTTGAATAGAGCACGGTCATGTTTGAATTGTGTCTAACGCACACAAAAGTATACTAAAATAGCTTTAGATTACAATAGTAAACCCCATACTTCTCTGTGCTATTACTTCCGATAGTGAAATATCATTTAAATTATTAACAAGGACTTATAGAAAAAATGCTCAGAAGTCATTATACATTTTTATTTCAACTGTTTTAGGTTGCCACAACTGAGAGAGTATATGCTGATGTGCGAATGACAGATGCTGACAATTCTGGTTTGAAAATGGGAGTCCAGAATTGTTTTGCGTCTCCTAGCAGTGACAGAAAGAATGCTATCAACACATACTCCCTTATCGAGAAAAGGTATTGAGAAAATCAAAAAACAACATTCGAAAAATAGAGCTACCAAAATTCCCTAATAATCAAAGGAATCATATAAAACCAGCTCAAATATCAAAAATGCTAAAAGAAAAAATACTTAACTATTTCAATGCATTTTAATTTGCTTTGAAATTTGATCATTTGGAATAAAGAATATACAATACAATACAATACAATACGATTATAGTTTCATAATTGTTATTTTGATTTTCAGATGTTTCAAAGATGACACTGTGTTTACTGTTCGATTTTGATTTCCAGATGTTTCAAAGATGACACTGTGTTCACTGTACGATCATCTGGAACTCAATACAAATTTGGATTCCTGGCCTTTCAGTTCACTGGAGATATCAAGCGTATCTACCTCCATTGTCAGGCTGCCGTTTGTAAAGTTGGTGACAGAACTGGAGCATGTGACCAACCAAATAAGGTATCCACTAATTAACCACATATTTGTGGAAATATAATTCTACAGTAAAGATTTTATTAGACCTGTTCCATGAATTAGATAAATACATTTCTGTTAACTTATAAGTAAAAACGTTTATTTTCATATTTGCAGAACTATCAATTATCTATGGGAATTTGTACCCCTGTATATGGCAATAGGGTCACAAGGCACATGAAATATATAATACCATATAAAAGTTTTACAGCATAACATCAAAAATGTAACATTCAAATTGATATGAATAACTTATTGTAAACAATCAAACAGGTAGGCCTAGAAATTGTAACTATAAATCGCGAGGAACAGAATATACAAGGGTTGTTCAATATATACTTATTCAAATGATCTCATTTCCATATTTATCATCCTCCGATCACAGGGCTTCAAAATTCAGTATATCTTCTTTCTTTTTACCCCATGCTAAAACCAAGTTGGAAGCGCCCGATTAAATTGAATCAAGTGATCTAAATTATGCGCAAATAACGTATACATGATTGCTGTCGCAGTGTTGCGACAGTGAATCAAATAGTATAGTTTCCATATAGCTTTTGAAATCTCGCTAGATCTCGTTTTTTGTGAGATTTTCAGAGACTTGCATATTAGACCTCTAATGAATTTAGTAAACTGTTTTCTCCTATAATAGCTTTGATTTACACAGTTATGTAATTTGAATAATTTTCTATGACAATTAAAAAAAACTTGGGCCAAATATCCATAGATGCAATGCTAAAATTCTTTAAAACCTTGAATTATTTGTATGTCAATCAACATTTGCATGTTTAATCACAACATGTACATAAACAGGGTCATCATGTGGTATATCATTCAAGTTTTATACAGATTCAACTAACACACTTTGATAAATCATGAAATTAAGCCACTTTTCCAAGATTTTAGCACGGTAAGTGAATGCAACTCTAGCCCAAATTAAAAGCTGAATAAAAGATGGCAACACTTCTGCTATTGCGAGTTCTTAATAGTGGAAATGCTAACTGCTTATGGCGGGGGAAGGAGGTACGGATTCTGGACACCTGCCTAGGAGGATGATATTCAGAAGTGAATCAAGCGGAAATTATAATCTTGGTTATAATTATTTGACCCATCCTGTGGATGTAACCAAAGTTAGTAACTTGAGACACGTGGCACTCCCGTCTCTCAAATGTGCTTGAAACTACCATTCATAAGCAATAAACGTCTCATCTGCTTCACGATGAACTTCAGAGTGAGCTAGTTTGTTCTCAAACACAGTGCCGTGCTGTTAGCCTAGGTTTATTATTTGTTTCGTAATGTACAAGAAGATTTAGAAAATAATAAATATGCCCGTTAATTTTTTAGATTTAACATCTGCAGCGTTTGGTTTAGTCCTGCATAGTCTACTAATAAACTATGAGTTTCTGTCAGCTAAAAGAATAAAATGTTTAGTTTCATATTTGCAGAACTAACAATCATTTATGGGACTGCATACATGTGGATACATGGCACTCGGGGCACAACCACAAGGCTCGTGAGATTTAGCTTTGATGTTCAAACCAAATGTATCCCACACTGCACCTACCTACTGCAGTTCTAGGTGCAAAACGTGCAGGAAAATGTATTGTACTTAGAGTTGGTAGGATTAATTTCTCCTGCTATCTCTGGTTGTGTAGTGTTACGGCAATAAAACTCAGAATTGCATATGCTGTATATAAAACACCATTTTTGACCAAAGTATCATTAATACATGAATTTTTGATATGTACCGAAGTAGTGGTGTTTAAAAGTTGCAGTCAATGATAGCAGGCAGGCTTCTCTATATCCCTACGAATTCCGTTGGTGGGATAATCATATTGTCTAGCTACCTTCACACTGGAATAGCCTGACAACGGTAAAGTCAGATACCGTTGTCACAAATGGCGGACATAACCGTCGCTTCAATTGGATTTTCATGAACTGTATTTTTAATAGAGCGACTCGATTAAATTCCTTTGGTACAGCAATCACTCAAAGTGTTTTTCTACTGATCATAAAGTTAAATATGTTCTACTATCGAAATAAAGGCTTTAATTTTACCGATCGGAATATGACACAGGACAACGGATACTGTATAAATGACAACGGTAGGTGTGGGTCAAATGTGATGTAAAGAAAACGGTAAAGTGTCTATTTACCGTTTTCATTTTCCTATGTTCCATTAATGCAATACATCCACCATAGTCCGTTGTCACATCTTACCATATGCCGTTGTCTTTGTAAATTATTTCTAATTCAGATTCCGTTGTCATTGACGATATCCACGACGCTATATTGTGCCAATTGCGACCCCATTGGATAGAAATTGGAATTTTGTATAATCACACGAGCTTAACACATGCACAGAATAAGCGACGATAAAGTCCCATGTAACGAGGACCAGGTGATTAAAGAGTTGAAGCGACCGTTACGTCCGCCATTTGTGACAATATGGTATCTGACTTTACCGTTGTCAGGCTATTCCGGTGTGACCTTAGTAGATGTTTTGAATTTATCAAATGTTGTACATATTTCTACTTATTGTTCTATCAGGCAAAGTCGGTTGATGTGTATTAGATACAATTTAGTGTTACCCACTGCATTCATTTGAACCAAGAAAATAAACTTATTTTGTCTTCTTACCCAAAATTTTCAAACTTTCAGGCCCATGGCAGGGGTAAATTCACGTTAAAAAATTTAAAAATGCATATGCCTTTTTATCCCTAAAGGAACGACGTTTTACCTTGGGAGCATAACTTTTCGAAGAGTGATCTTGGACTACTCTACCACTCTATTTTTTTTCGTTTGGTATAAGGTATAAGGGACAATACTAATGACATTGCTCACTTTTTAAAGTTAGTTTTCATGCGTTATACAAAAATAATCGAAATAATTTAATATTGGATGGAGGGGGGATTTATATGTCTTTACGATGGAATAAATTCACAAGAACTCGTGTATTTGAAAAAAAAACTAAACTCAGTACCCAAAAAAATACTAGATGACCTAACGTATTTTGCCATGCACTGCGCCTATTCATTTGGCAATTCAGTTGTAAATTTTCTCTTAAACAAATAAATCTTCCAAATTTGTTGAGTTTTCTTGCAGAAATCGCCTAATCCCCCCTCCATCCATTTTGTACGTTCACCGGACGTGGATATAAGTGTTATTGGTGTTATTTTGGACTAAACTTGTATAAATGTATATATTTTGAAGGGGCCAAAGTTCAAATTTCCCTCCATTTTCCACAATTTGAAACTCCGCATGCAGCGAATAATTTTTTGGTGGCTCGTGACATCCCTGGTGTCATTTCTAGCCTCTAACTCTTCATGAAAGCAACAGTTTTCAATCGGGTGGTCTCATATTGTTAGGAAATGATTCATCTTTAAAATGATATATAAGACATGGCAAGGTTTAAGATATATTATATGAATCATTATCATATGATATTTATCTTTGAACTTGGGTATTGTTTTTTGGCCCACCCTGTATATGGACTTTATAATTCTAGAACTGTTCTGCAAGGGGTATTTTGAAGATTGGTGAATTAACATGGGGCTCAATGGAAACATGCACAATTTTCAAGGCCCGTTATTATTATTAACTAGGGCCACTAGTCAAGACCACTTCGGTGAATGTCAAAAATATATGTATTTTTTTGAAAAATATGTACTTCTCCTTCGAAACCCTGCGGACCCGCAGGAGTTACGCATATTTACCCCAGAAAAGACTGTATCCAACACCTCCCAGTACCCATTCCATATATATTTGCATTTTTAAGAGTCTATTAGCTAATATATTTTGTCTTGTATGAAATTATTTTGTAGAAATGCGGTTTAGCACAAGCCGGTAGTTTAGCACAGACCAGTCGTTTAGCAGAGGCCAGTCGTTTAGCAGAGGCCAGGCGTTTAGCAGAGGCCAATCGTTTGGAAGAGGCCAGGCGTAAAGCAAAGGCAACTATTCACCCTGTGCGAAAGGTGTACAAATTCCCACCAGGAGTTCCAGTTCCAGCCGAGTTCCGACATGGTGTGCCGCGATCTGAAAGAAGTGTATATGAGGCAGGGACAGAACAGTTAGTTCCACAAGACAGAATGGTTAGGAGCATCCCTATTTCAAGTGATGCTATCACCCTGGAACAACCTGAAAAGTCATTCTCTGTCAGAGAGGCATTTGGTGAGGCAAAGTTGATTTAACTGTAATTCATTCATTTGGTGATTCTTTTTGGTACACATGTTGTACTTCTATTTTGATTTGGGTTTACGTACATTATCAAATAGTTCTATAATATAAAAAATAGGTTAAGAACATGATTCTTCTGTTCCTATAATATCAGAGAATAAGCTAAATCAGATTCTATTAGATCTAATCACATAACCAGCACTCTTTATGATGAACATTTTCAGATGCATAAAACATGTAAAAGCATATTAGGCCAAGCAAATGGGCTCATAAAAGTCCCAAACATCCCAAAAATTGCAACAGTTTTTAAATTAGTCTTATATTTTGTACTGATATCAGTTGAAAAACATATCAAAAATGTAGAAAAATGTATGCAGTGGACAAATATGAAATTTCACTTCCTAGGTACCCACAACCCTACCCCAAAATTGAGTATTGGTAGGAAACAATTTTTTCTTCCCAAATGGAATACTTTAGTCAAGTATTCAAGCTTTATTATGATAGATCACATATTCTTAAATAATTAAAATATTATTTTAATCATTTTTGAGACCAGTAATTGGTCATTTGACCAAGAAGTATAACAAAATAGGCAACAAAACAGGCATGTTATCACATATCTATTTAGATATTTTAGGATCAGTTTATCAGAAAAGCATGAAAAAAATCATGGTGTTACATATTCATATGAACTTCATATTTGGTGAGTGTCGGAACTCTAACGTGTATACTTAGGAAGAAAAAATATACTCTATGCTCTATACTAGGCTTATCTAAATAATGTAAGTTGTAGTTTCTGTGGAATTTAATATTGTTCAAATTATTAATTACAATCCGCAATTACAAAATTTGCATTATTGCATATATTTAAAATCATCAGATATATAAATCATTACATAAGAGTACATTACTATGGAACTATCAAATGGATGTATAATGCTGTAGAAATCTGGGGAGTCTTTCATTGATATAATTTCAGTGTGTAGGAATGATTTCAGTGTGTAGGAATGATGGTAATTCTGTCTGTCAGGTTGGAAAACCTTGAGTGTACATGTGCTACACATTCAGAATCGGATGCAGATATTGTGATTGTGAAAACTGCAATCCAAAGTGTTCAAACCTCAAATACAGTACTCATACAGATCTCCTTGTGCTTCTCATTTATCATGCACAAAACACAAACTTCAACATTTTCTTCAAATCTGAACCAAAAGCAGCAACCCAAGAAACAAAATATTGGAATATAAATGAAATAAGATTGTCTTTGGGAAAAGTGGTCGGTGACAATATTTTGTTTACTATTTTTCTTTTTTCCTTTTTTGCACGTGTTGTAGGCAGAATCCCCACGATGTTTTTTTCTCACAATCATGTATCAGTATCATATGTTTTAGAAAATGTACATGTTTGCGCAAAAATAGCTCAGAAGACAACAGAATTGTTGATTTAATTCCTTACATAAACGGTTTGGGTTAAAGTGCAGATCTTAACTGTTTTTCGAAATACCGTTTATGTAACTTAAGTGATGGATTAAATCGACGATTCTGTTGTCTTCTGAACTATTTGTTCGCAAATATGTACATTTTTTAAACATATAATACTGATACATGTTTGTGAATCATACCTTCGATGTTCCGACATTTTGTTACAACGTAATCAAGTGGAAAACCAGTGAAATGCAAGCAACTCTGTCACTGCAGAGGAACATGCTATTTTGTCAATTTATGGTGGAAAAATGGTGAAACCCTAAATGAACTTAGGCTTCAAAAATTCTATTAAAAGAGAGCAGCAAGATCTGAATTATTGCAACCCCGTGTTCTTCCTCCAACTTCTGATGCTGTGGAATACCACAGTTATAGAGTGTACCATCAGATCCAGGAGTGGGAGGGAAATAAAGTGCCTCCGTTATAATTGGGCTGGGAAATAACCAACGAAACTTTTGGGCCCACTTTAGGGTTTTAGGGGCCCAAAATGTTGCTCTCTACAAGCAAGACACATATATGAAGGTTAAAATTACAAAATTAAGGCAGCATTTTTGATAATGAACATAACATAATCGAACCATGCCCTGTATAAAGACCAGGGATTTACTTTGCGTTACACTAGTTAACTCAGTAGGATTTATTAACGTAGAAACCTTTTCCTCATTTTTTATTGAATTTCATCTTGAAATCCAACATTCTTCAGTAAGTTGAACTTCTTCATTTCATTTCTCAATATCACTATGTGGTTGAGAACACCTTAGTCAAAAGTAACAATTTTTCCTTAATACAGGGCGAGCCAAAGACTGAGGTAACCCAAACAAATCTTAATAACCCAGTCTAGTCATCCTGCATGGATTTAGTGTCATATTTGGCAGAATTGAGTCTTGGTCAATGTATTATCAATCTACCCAGTCTCAGTGGTCTATCTCAAGTGGTCACGATTTTATGGCCATTTTTATACCATGCCATGAAATATGAGTGTCACGCCTGGAGGCCAACTTGAATGTATCGTGCGTAGTTGTACAAATCAGGAGCATAAAAATCTTGTGTTATGGCTCTCATCTTCATTCTTATCTCTTGTTTTAATGTTTCAAGTGTTGTTCGTATAGAAAAAAGGTCCACAGATAAAAAAAACTGGTGGTATTGATGTCCAGTCAGTTAGGCACATTTCGATATTTTGAGCACATTTTGTAAATGGCCATAAAATCGTGACTTTTAAGGATAGATCAATGACAATTAATAGAATTAAAGAACATTGGACAAGGTAATTGTGCCAAATATGATGTCAAACCCATGCTGAATAACTGGGTTATTAACAAACATTTGGATGGGTTACCTTTTTTGGCTCATATTAATAAACTGATGTCAGGGACAGGGATATTTAACATTTTGTTGCCTCAACAATATTATTAGACCACTGATTGTACTTAATTTCTAACAAAGAAAAGGTATATTATATATCAAATTGAATTTAAAAGGAAAAAACATTTGATAATTTAGCAGTTATCAACTAAAAGTAGGGCTTGGTTTGGTAAAGTGTTTGTTTTATTTGGTATTTATGGAATATTTAATGTACCGAATAAAGAAGCAGTTTAAACACCATAGACCCTGATACTTATATAATACAATGGTCAGGTGTACAATAACCTCCTTGATTTTTTTCATGCAATTCTGATGAATTGATACAGAAATAAATACATTGTTATATTAAATTCGGGCTATTTGATGGCCTATTTTCAGATATTTGGGGCTAGAAATGCCAATTATTGCACTCAAATAGTTGGTTAACAGTTTTTAGTTGCTCTTATGTCAGTAAACTATCATAATATTACTCATTTAGTTGACAAGAGCATTCCATTTTGAAATAAAAAAATATTTACAATCCCATACTCAAATTTGGAGGGGGTACCTAGAATGTGACATTTTATATTTATCCACTGCATATATTTTTCTACATTTTTGATATGTTTTTCAACTGGTATCAATATACAATATAAGCCTAATTTAAAAACTGTTGCAATTTTCGGGATGTTAAATTTCCATTTGCCTAGCCTATATGGAAAACCAATAAAGAAACGGTTATTGCATTTGTTCATCAATTGTTGCTTCAAAGCAGTTTTGCATTGGAAATTCGATATACAAGAAAACAATTAGAAAACAAATGGTACTTTATAATGTACGATACCTCATAACATGCAATATTTGACACAATTTTATTATTTTACCATAGGTAAGACGTCATGGCCTGTTGCACTGCTGTGTATGGTAGCCCTGGCTTTGAACATCACCCTTGTTGTGGCTTTAGTTGTGCGTAGGATCCGAAAGAGACAGCCTTCTCACTATCACAGTGTACCAGATAATGCCTTCTAAACCGTACATGAATTTGACTGAATGGGGTGTATACAGAATACTACATCCAATACACTGTAATATAACATCTCAACATGGAAACAACTTACAGCTGAGAGACCAGTAAGAACTGCTCTATTTGGAAACGGACTTGAGAACTTAATGTATCTTATTACTTCGACTTCTAAAATTTTTCTTAAAATATCACTCTGTCAAACGAGTTTAACTTCTCTTCACTTGATGAATATTTTGTTAAATTTTCATAGTCATAATTTCACCAATACTATTTTAATGAGCACCAACCAGCAATACACACCATCAAAAGTCTTTGATGATATAAAGCTGATTTTCTGAAAACACCAAAGTTTGAACAAATGTGCGCACGCACATGACTGGAAATAACAAGGGCGCGTGCGCCTTTAAAGTTTCAATAGGCAATTTTAACAAAATCTATTGATGGTGTTATTAACAGGTTATTCTGAATTTAGAAGCTTTCTATTATTGGGCTATTTGCCCCTTTAACTTTTATCTTGAATAATTTGTACTTATTCTTTGTTAAAAATATATCCTTAACTATCCTGCAAATAAATCTGTCTTTTGTGTTTGATATTTCTGGAAAGAAAGAAACATAGCAAGATAAGCAAATTCTAAGTGTAAACCTGTCATAAGAAAAATAAACCCTTTATCCAAAAACATGATCTAACCTTAAAGAAATAATGTCTAACAGCCCCTTCTCCCATCTAATCGAGAACTAATGTCACAATCCTGGACCAGAACACCAAGGAGCTTTTTATTCATACTGAGGTCATTTCAATACACGTAGATGAAAAATTGACAGTCAATACTCACAGTCAATACTAATAACTATTTCTGTTTTCGGTCCCGGTTTCTCAACCGTTAATGCCATAGCCAGGATCCACATTAAAAAGTGCCAAATGAAAGCACACGGAGGTTTCAATTCCAATTCCTTATAACAATTCCTTATTTTTCAGCAAAGCCTAGAAAGGATTACTTTAGCTTGTTACAAGTATAATCTTGACCTAACAGTTTGAACATTAGAATATGACAATTGATTTCAAATCTATATGTTTTGGCTTGCTTTAACTAATGATCCATAAAACAAAACAAAGACATTTACAAGTCAAAATATGTTTACTTGAATTTGTGAATGTTAATTTGCTACTTAAGTATTATCATAATGATTATATATAAAGCTAAATTTGAACTGTTATAGGCAACTAAATATGTCGGACCGAGGAAAGTAAAGCCTCAGTAACATCCCAGTCACATTTCCTACGGCGACCTTGCGGTCTATCATTTCTGCGGCCAGTAACATTTCTACGCTCGCAGTCACATTTCCCACGGCAGCCGCACGGTGAATTTTAAATTTCTGTTGATAAGTAATACTTTTTTCATTTTATTTACATCGGGACAATTTATAAATGTTATTCATAGTGCTAGGATGTAATATCAAATGAAAAGTGATCGTGAAACATTGACAAATAATGATTCAATCTTGTTGAGCCAGTTGATTTCTACGGGGACCTCAGAAATGAACAAATATTATAACTCCGAGTTATAATTTCTACGGCGACCCTGCGGCCTGTAAAAAAACTGGATACGCCGTACGGAGGCTGCAAGGCGAGCGTAGTTTTCCTACGCTTGCCGCAGAAATACACTGATTTAATTGATCTGCGGTCGACGCACGCCCTTCGTACGACAAATGTGACTGGGGTGTAACATTTTCTCCACGGCGACCGTACAACGGTCATAGTTTCACAAAATCGATGTAGGAAATCTACATCGTCCTGCTTATTCCCATGCTGCATACTTCTCTCGGTTTTGGGATGCTACGGCCGCCGTAGATGTTCAACATTCCAGTCCCCCAAAACAAAAGCTGGCTTCCAATATGTGACTGCAGAGTATTAGCCAAGGTCAAAATCTTCTGGTCTCGTCTATTTATTGAGGAGTTTGTGCCACACAGGGATCTATCCCTTGTTCTTTTTTTCTTACTATTTGCTTCAACACCTTTCAAAGGTTCATACATTGGCTCTCATTTCTTGTTCTCATCTAAAACATTCGCTTTAGAAATACTAGTAATATACTTTTGGATTGAAGAGTTTAGCATGGTAAATTATTATTGGTGGAAATTTAGGAGAGGTGGTTTTAATTTCCAAATGTGTTCATGCTGGTTGCATGCTGCAGCTGCAATAGACCATATGTCGTGTGTTGTTGTAAGACATGCATGTGGAATTCAACAACATCGAAATAGAGAAGTTCGATATTATCTAGGGGAAGGGAATCTGTTGAAATGAGGGTGAGAAAATTGACGAATGGTTGACACAATATAGGTACTACTCTTTTTTTACTATTGTAAAAATACTACTGTATTGTATGACTTATTATCATGAAATAAAGAAAACATGAAAAAACTCTTTTTAAAGGGTTGAAATTACACCAGGCTACAGTGACCACAATGAACTCATCCAGCTACCCTTTCTCTATCCTTCAGCTCGGGTGCAGTTTTAATGGTAGCCTTAGAGACTGGTTTGGCAACGCCCCTTGTGCTAGACCTAACTGCAGCTTTGGGACCTACTTATGAACAGTAGGCTTAGCTGCAACTTTGTCTTTATATGTATCTTTTATTATTGCAGAGTTAGATGTTTCAAATCAAAATGATTGTAATCGCTGCCCAAATGACCTGTTTACGAACCAAAATAAATCTACTTGTGGAGACTCGATCAAATTGAGTTCTTCTGAGAATATTAGGGTTTCAGCAAGGATGCACTGACTGAACATGGAGATATCATCATATAAGTGGGGATAATAACCAAAACCTGACTCAGAGGAACTCAAGTTTATCGAGTCTCAACAAGTAGATTCATGTGGGAGAGCCCAGGTCCTTGAAAATCAAGGGATAGTTTAAAGACATTTACAAGTCAAAATGCGTATTTGTGAATTCGACTGATTTTTAAAGATGCATTATGCCATAGGTTTCTCCACCAGACAATCAATGATGTCCTATTGTTATTGCTCATGTTATATCTCACATACCATGGATATATCTTGAGAATAAGTTTTGGGTATATTATTGCCGAAATATCGAAAATAATCAACAGAACAACCAAACTCCTGAATTAAAAACAATCGATTCCTCGGCTAGCGAGGGGAATCCCCATTGAGTCACACAAGCGAAAATAATTAGATCGGCCAGCACAATCGCAAAATTAACACTGAAAAAGGGGGATTTGGGACTCCTTCTTTGGTAAGTAGATGGGTATATATGTGGTGAAACTCAATATGCAAAAAGGTCCAGAGGGGTCTTGATTGTGCTACCCCTATGGCATAGAGCCTCTTTAATTTGCTAACTAAATCAAGTAAAAGCATGTTTGAATCTGATGATGATTTTTAAGCTGAATAATATGAAACATTCCACGGAACGAATTCTTGTCGAAATGAGAAAAATTAGTTCATAATCCATAGGGTGGGCCAAACTTATATTTACACTTTCAAGTGTATCTCAAATTATTTTGGCAAAACTGCGTCTACCTTGTTGCCATATTATAAATCCCTCTTCAAGAAGGGGGCCCTCTGGTCACAAGGCATCAACCTTTGAAATTGAAATTTGAACTCAATCTTATTACCATTGTTTACTGTGTCAGAAAAATTAAATTTCATCTGAAAAAATTCAGTAGCCATCTTAAAATTTGAGCCAGATCTGACAACTGGTATTCAATTCTTTGCTTCTATCAATATGTTTAAATACGAAGAAGTGGTGGCCATTTTGAATTCGCAGCTGTAGTGGATCTCACTTTTAAAAAAGATTAGCCTATGAAATATAAACCAAATCCAATTAGTGGGAGTTAAGTCACAAAACATTGTTGACATGAACGATTGTGTCCATTTCGAATTTAGTAGATATCTTGAAAATTCCTACTTGAGCAGTCGTTACGGCAAAAATGTATATCGGGTGTCCCAAAAAATGAGACACTTTTTGCCAAGTATTTTCTCGGCAACTAATAAACCAAATTCACTGAGAATTTGTACAAATTAGCCTGAGAGTATCATTAGCAAGTTGTACAAATATAACACAAATCAAGTAAATATTCTCAGAGTAATAAGATATTCAAAATAGCATGTCAAATATCCCCATACCGGAGCTCTGCGATGAGACCTCAACAGTGTTTCTACCAGCTATCAGGTGATAGCATTTGTAAATAAGTCAAAATAGCTTGTCTGTGTGTCATGTCTACTTAATTCATTTCATTCTTCCCAAATATCCAAAATCCATTCATTCTCAAAATTCATTTGAGGTGATATTGTTAAGAAAAATACGGAAAGGTATTTTGCATGAAAAGGATTAACAAGTGAGATTTACATCGATATTGGTTATTTTTACATACTGTTTTTAATTCAACAATTCACACATAATATGAAGCCAATCTCTTACATATTTATAGCACGAGCAGAAAATACCCTAAGGTGCCTCAAGTAAAGTTTACAAATAATTTGGCTCATCTATTGCTGAGAAATCACTTGTCTAATTCCTTCCCATTTTTGGTACAAACGCGATGAAAATTCTCATTGTATTGCTCCGGTATGGGACATTTTGACATGCTACCTGTATCTTGAATTTCTTAATACTCGCATAAAATTTATCTGATCTTTGTCATATTTCTGTACCTTGATAAGGATACTCCTGGGCTACTTTGTACAAATTTTCAAAAAATTTGGTTCATCAGTTGCCGAGAAAATACTTGGCAAAAAATGTCTCACTATAAACAAAAATATCTCTACTGGCATTTGAATAAGCACTTTGAAAATTATTATTTTTTATTTATTTATCAAAATCATAAAAACATATATACATATCAGTGATAATGACACCCTAGTGGGTGTATGTCTTATCACAAGCTAAAATATTTGAAAAATGGCATGGCAATGGCATCTTGAAAATTCCTACTTGAGCAGTCGTTACGGCAAAAATGTATATATCATAAACCAAAATATCTCTACTGGTATTTAAATAAGCACTTTGAAAATTATTATTTTTTATTTGTTTATTAAAATCATATAAACATATATACATATCAGTGATAATATCCTACGTCTTATCACAAGCTAAAATATTTGAAAAATGGCATATTGTTAGTTACATTTATTATTGATGTTACAAAGTGTCTCAAAATATAAATTATGTAAGCCAAACTGGGAAACAAATAAATAAGATGTAAAAAAGATATAATAAACAACATTTTAATGATGTAGACTAGCTAAATATGTACAGGGTACTAATCATAGAGACTAATTACATGTATTTTAAAGGCTCGCTTAAAAATAAAAATGGTTTTTGAATTTTTGATAACAACTGGAGTTGAGTTCCAGATTATTCCCCCTTGAGCTTTAATACATCGTTTGCCATAGTTGGTTCTAAATTTGGAAATATGAAGATGGCCAGTCTACCTTGTATTGTGGTCGTGTACCTGCTAAT